CATTAACATCATGTATAGAATTGTTCTTTCCCTCTATAAGAATCCACTACCATGAAACCAGAAATTAGAACAAAATATATCATCCACTTTCAAGGATGACTCTTTTTCAAAAATCCTAGATATCAAAAGCTGAAATTTTATAATGAATATCTGGAATTATGTTCCGACCAAAATGATTTGAATAAATTAAAAAGTGAACTACAAGGTCAGTTGAAAAAATAAGGTAAATTTTCATTTTTCTCAAAAAAATTTATTTTTTCATCACTTTATATTTTGTCCCCTTCAACATAACCCCCCTCAGATATAATACACTTGTGCCAGCTTTTTTCCAATCCTCAAAGCAATTCTGACGTGTACTTTTTGGTATGTCCCTGAGCTCTCTCAATGATTCGGTTTTTATCTCAAGTCGCAAAACGCTGGATCATGGATCACTTCAATCTTGGGAACAGGAAGTAGTCGCAGGGAGCCAAATCTGGTGAATTCGGTGGCTGAGGCATGATAATAATCCTTAGCGACTGTAATGACCACGTGGCGAGAACTTTTGATGTACTATGCCATGGCGATTGAAGAAAACAGTAAGCAAAACAATGACATTCAATCGAAAATGGTGTGCTTTCTTTGGTCCTAGCTATGGGACGATTGGAATTTGGTTTTGATGTCATAACCCATAATTCGTCACCAGTTATGAGTCTTGACCCAGTAGTCCGGACTTTCATTGTCTAATATGATATAATATTATTTGAAATCTCAAGTTACTTCACGACGTTTCCATTGTAAGTGTCCACAATCGTCTTTGGATGATGAATGAAGTATTCCTCTAAGAGTTGACTATTTATAGGTCATTCAAACATATATGCATCATATATGTCATATATGCAGCTTCTTTGAACTTCCTCTTAAACCAGTGTTCCGCCCTGTGGATGATCTCAGCTTGAGACCACTTGATGTTATGTTGTTGAGTCCAAACATGCTCTGCTATTCCCGATTTGCTGGTTTCTCCTCGGTGTGTGTATCTCTTGTGCTTGACAATGCGAACTTTCAATGGCCTCTTAGTTTCACCGATATAGGATTTGCCACATTCATAGGGTATCCAGTATATGCAATTCTTGGAATTACGTTTGGTAGCCTTCTGCATATACCGGATACTTTGTGAGTACGACAAATCTATATCGCTGAAACTAAAAGGCCATTGAGAGTCAGCATTGCCGAGCACATGAGAAACACACAGCGAGAAGAAACCAGCAAATCAGGAATAGCAGAACATGTTTGGACTCATTGACATAACATCAAGTGGTTCCAAGCTGAGGTCATCCACAGGAAGGAACATTGGTTCAAAAGGAAGTTCAAAGAAGCTACATATATGTTGTCCAACGACGCATTCAGCCAGGCTAGTGTAAAGATACACAACATATGGAAAAATCAAGCTCGAAAAAATATTTTCTTTCGCAACTAATTAGCGAATAATTAGCGGCAAATTGTGAAATCATTCGTTTTGCAAAAGTGTCTCGTCAACTTGATATACATTCAATCTTGGTTATGGGATTAGCATGGGAATGGTTTTCGGGTTATGCCGTGGTCTTTTTTGATTACAATATCCAAACGTTTCAACTGCAACTGCGGCAGTTATCTTCAGTGGCGTGGTCAGTGGCGTATCAGTTGATACGTCAAGGAGGGTACTTCGACTACGTCACTGAAGATAACTGCCGCAGTTGCAGACGAAATGTTTGGAGATCATAACCAAAGAGCACCATGGCAAAACCCAGAAACTAACAAAAACATATGGGATTAGTGTTTGTATTATATTCATTCTACGTTTGAGGTTACAGAATATTACTTTCTTTCAAGTTAAGATGTAATGAAGTAAGAGCGGTTGCAGTTAAGGTAGCTCACTGAAACGTGCATTTCTTTATCAAAATTTTCAAATATTACAAGTTCTTGACTTCGTCAAATAATTTCCGAAGGATTTATTGAACCAATAGAAACGAGATAACGTTTATTATGGACCAATATTAAAGTTCCACAAAGAAGTTACAACTTTTCAAAACTCTCGCAAGTTCCCCGTTGGAAGAGATCAAATAATCTCTTGCAATTCGGATTGGCATGGCCTCTTCCTTTATCGAATGCTAATCGATCATAATACGAATACATTGGTCACCAACACTCTGGCTTCCACAAATATTAATGCCGGGCTCGGTCCTCGGTCACCGACCTTGTCAAATTCAAGACACTCGATTCGGTCATTGCCTTGTGTGTTGCTACTTTTCGGTTCTAAACCGGCAGTCTTGGCTTTTTCTGTTTCCTTCTAGAAATCAAAACAAACACATTTCCGTAGTTTGTATCTCCCAGGACCGGCCTGACTACGAAAAGGGACAAGGCGAATGGATGTGAATTATCAACGGAATTTCGACAAAAGTGGAATTGATAGATATTTTTTTCGAATGTCAGGGGTCCTATTTTGAAATCTGGTGAACTCTCGATTTTTTCTCTGTATGCGAGAGCTTACCTGATTTAAAAATAATACTCTAGAAAATTATCAAATCGATATTTCCATTCCCGTTGATGGAAATATGCGAGTTAAAGCATTTAGATGATTGTAACAATTTATTAATTTACTGTCTCACTAATTTATTTTTTACAACACTTAGCAACTAAGGCTTAATTTATTTCCACTATTTGAATTTCTTGTTTAGCCGCTCGATTCACTTTCTGAACTGCCCTCTTGTGTCGGGAAAACGAGCTTAGATCGATAACGTTACTTTCTAGAATTCTGTAGACGGTTCGGTACTTAGAATTTTACCGGCGATTCCCGACTGCATTCTTTCGCGGTAATATCATGTGTTTGCTCGGCTGGCATATTGGTCAGGGGCGGCTTCAGATTCGTTACATAGTTATGAATGCACTGGTTACTGACATGATGAAAATTAATAACAGTATCCATGATGAATATTACTGGAGTTTTTTCCCAACACCAAATCGTTATTTTTAACACCTCGACACGTGTTTCGATCACCAAGTGATCATCTTCAAAGAGGAATATTAATTTTAGATTATTTTAATCTTCCTCTTTGAAGATGATCACTTGGTGTAACAGTGGTATATTGTTTTTTTCAATGATTTTATTAGATGAACATCTAAAGATTTTTGTAATCTTGTATAACATCGCGTCTTGCTTTCTTAAGGCTTGTTTTTGACTATTTTGCGTACAGTTGAGAAAGGAATTTTGGTCAAATCTGATGTTGCTTGTAATAATTTGTTTCGCTCGAAACCAGACTTGAGATGTAGATTCTTATATACATTGAAACATACTCTCCGTGTTTCAATATCCAAATGCATCCGAATCTTATTCACTAGTATCTCTTTTTCGCATTGTTCACCATCGCTATTGGAATCACTACACTTGAAAAAATCTGCGTTGTTATCACACTCGTTATTGCTATTATTACTTGGGCAAGGACGCCATATTTCAAACAGATAACAAAAATTTTAAGTAATTATAACTGCATCAATATCAAATTTCAACACTCAAATCGCGATCAGTTCCTTAACTGAACACGACGGCGATAACCACCACAGCATTCCCGATTTCTATTCGTCACCGTAATATGACTTCAAATTTGATTTTATGACTCTTCAGTCAATCATAAAACTCGGTTAGTAAAAATTATCCAATACGAACCGCCAATTCTTCAGTCCACGGGGACTATTTCGCAGCCGGTTCATTTCTATGTATTGGTTTTTTTGGCTTTTGAGAGTGACGACAACTTTAAGTGTGCACAATACCGTTTACTTCGACTATACTGTTAACGATTGTAAAGATAACTTACTTGACAATAACCCTCTATAAGTGTAACTATTTCCGAAGGCGTCGCGTGTGAAAAATTCGGAATAGAAACCGATGAGGTCAAATGGATGGTGTACGTCCAGTTCCGGGTGTTGCCGCTCGTCCGGTCCCTCAGAATATTCGGTTGCATTTGCATTCTAATCGGTGAACAATTTTCGGCAATGCAAGGTAGCTCGAGTCGATGAACTTACGCTCGTTAGATGGTTCTCGGTGGATCAAAGAGGCGACTCATGATTGAGAGGTGAAGTACGGTGATGTTTCTCCATACAGAGTGTAAACTCTGGCGGTTTGGAACAGGATGAAATGATTCTGATGAAAATTTCGCACCAACGAAAGGCGTATTTCGTCTCGCGTTACCTGGCAACCCAGGTATATCGGATTTTGTTTTCTCATGGGTTACTTGGAGCGAAATATAGCAGAAATTTTTTTTATAGTCTGGTCAACAAGTGCCTGTGAGGTTAAACTTTTATATCCGCCTTCGAAAAATATGAACGGGGTGTAATTCGATCCGGAATAGCGTCTAGTTGATTTTTGAAAAAAATAAAGTGCCGCTTGCAAAAATTGCAAAAGTTATAAAAGATTCACCAAAAAAAGAAATGGGTTTGGTTTTTTGCAAATACCTATTTTAAAAACCATATACTTAACATTTTTCATATTTGAAAAACGATTCAAAAAGAGGAGGAAATTTCCCAAAAAAAGTATCACTTCCCTGAACTGTAGGATCAATATTTATAATATTCCCAGAGGGTTGAAAAAACGTCCCAAAAAGGGTACCCTGGCTTGCGCAAGACCTCCAATGAAAAAATATCATTTCAACTTATCAAATATCAAAATTAGAAATTGAAAAAAATCAGGCGCCTATTGGATAAATGAATGTACGATATTTGTTGAAAAAGAAATCTTAGTTTTTCTCTTTTTGGAGCTATTTTTGAAAGTTATTCGAATAGATTCCAGTAGGAAAATGAAAAGAAATGTAATTTTTCAGGTTGTTATCAACAATAACTTAGGTTGAAAATCAAAAAGCTTCATTGATCATTGAAAATACATGTTTTTTAAATATTATCATCGATACGATACGATGAACAAATTTGGGATTTATTTTATTTTATAATTAGAAATCACTGTATCTTGTCTTCTAAACTGCTTACTTATATTTTAGGACGGAATTTTTATAAATGTGCAAGTGACACCTGCGGATTCTTTCTGTGGGCTCCTGATACAGACGGTGTATCTAGTGTGAGTAATCAAATCCAGAATCAGATTAATCAAAATTCTGAACCGAGATGTAATTGTCATCAACCTGCAGTGCTGAGAACTGTTAGTAAAGCTGGCCCTAATACAGGAAGAAAATTTTATGTCTGCTCAAAACCAAGAGGTCAAGGTTGTACTTTCTTCAAATGGGCAGATGAGGTAATGTTGATTTGTATCAAGTTTTATCACCTTTCTTAAATTTTTTTTTGTTGATGGGAGAAGTAAAACGGAATTGCTTCTACTTCAGGAGTCACCTCTTGCAAAAATGTTGAAAGAGATACATTTCGAGATACATTTCGAGTGTTGGCATCGCGATCATATTTGAATGATGACTGACTCATTCCTAATGAATCGAGTTTATTTATAGGTTATTGGGGTATTTCCTGGCGTCAATTTCAGAAACTGGCAAACACGCATTTGGTAATTTGTTGCGCTTATGATATCTGCATATGGACATTGTATTGTCGAAATACAGAAGTCAGATTACTATGTTCAGAGGTGGAACCTTTGCAGGCCAGTGGCGTAACATAATGTTATATTTACACTTCACGCTGACATGGCTGAATGGGTTTTTGTTCATGATTTATCTGGTTTCTTTGAATTTCCTTTTAAATCGATGTTCTTCTTTGTTGTAATCTCTGTTTTAGGCCACGCTGGATAAGTAATGCTTCAAAAAGCTCCTCTTTTTGAAGCCATGTTTTCAGTAGTGTCAGAAAAACACTCAGAGCAATAAACAAATTAGGTATACCTCCTTCTGAACCTGATGTGAAATGAAATCAAGGAAATTCTTCGGCATTGGCTGTTTTGAGACTTGTTTTAAGATGGTTTGAAGTTCCCCATATAATTCCAAATGCTTCTGCTACTCATACTTTTTTTGTGTTGCTTTTGATTAATTGATTGATAATATGTTTATTGTTTAAGAATAAAATTCTTGTTACAAACACAATGTCATAAATAAATATCAACACGTTCAGTGGCGTTGACGCCATACGGCGTTTTTGTGCTTCCATAGGTACGTGACTTGACGCCAAACGGCGTCAAAAATTGAAAATCATCGCCGGATGGCGACCTAATAAGCATATCAGCCAATGTTAGTTGGACCCCTACTGTCACGTAACATGGGAGCATATATACCGTAGTAGATAATTATCCCCTCCCACTCGCCCTAACCACCTTTTCTGGGGAAGCTTGGCTTTTGGCGCGCATTACGCCATGCGGCGTATCAGTGCCAGTTGAAAAACATTGCTTATCATAGTAATGTCTGTTTACGAAGAGAGTTTGTTTACAAAGAGGTTTTTCGTTGGAGCAACAGAAAAAGTAAGTAACTTCATAATATTAGTCTTGATCTATTATGATTTTATAATTGCCTATACTTCTATAAATAGCTAAATACTTATTTGAATTCCAGATGGATGGAGATGGTCATACAAATGATCCTTATGAGAGAGAGCAACGCAGATTGAAACGTTTGTTTGACGAGTTATCTTCTGGATCTGAACATGAAGAANGACATATTTTATTATTCAGTTAATGTAAAAAACTAGACTTAAGAACACCAATAAATATATTTTTGAGCTTTATTTTCTCTTATTTTTACTTTTTTCTATTTCTGTTTTTTGAATTTCCCCTTCTGCAGTAGTTTGTGTTAGCTGCAAATAAAATATAATTAATTTTTTTTGTATTTGTTCACAATAGGGAATGGAGAAACTCATAACATTCATGTATACCAACCATATTAAGAATCATTTCATATTTCAGCCTCAGTAAATTATTTTCTTCCTCCAACTCTTGCAACTTTTTTTTCAACTTTTGCTTCGATTTGTAATTAATACCATCCTGTCCGGATTCTGCAAAATGGAAAATATCATTAATTTGAAACTGCCCGTTTTTTCTACTCTTCATTGCATCACACACACGTTTTCTCAACCAGTACCATCTATTAAAGCGGTGGTTACATTCAAGTACATACTTTAGCAAGAGCATATGTTAGACTTGATACTCTCAAAGTACACATCACAATTTTGTCGTTTCTTTGAATAAAACATACATCAGGGTGTTTGCCTCAAAAATCTTAGTAAAAAAAAAATCAAGACAAAACCGTACCTATCGGAAAACATAATTGATACACCTATTCTCTTCGTTCCCTCACTTCTCCAGAGTTACCTCATGAAATTTTTTAAATTGGAAGGTCGGTTTAAATTTCACGGGTTTGTTGAGTCCGATTGTTAACTTTTTCATTATATGAGTATACATACACACGTGGTGAGACCTAGAAGTCTGCCCTATATATGTTTTGGAACAATCCATACATGAAATTTTGTATATTGTGTTCAACACAATATACAAAATTTTGAACTTTATGGAATTTGAATGGATTGTTCCAGAACATATATAGGACAGACTTCTAGGCCTCTTATTAGTTGCATAACTTCACACGTGATTGCAGACGAAATGTTAATTTTTGCGCATTGAGTGTACACATCAATATGGAGGATTACAGAATGGATTTCAGAAACCAAAAATTTCAGATAGGGAAACCAATTTAACTTAAAACGTAGTTACCAAAATATACGAAGTAATAATATAAATGGATTCTATTTGAATGATTACATATAGAAATTATAATTTTTAAATTCTCAGATGACTCATACTAAGCTTATTGTGCTAACCTCCCACTTGAAAACTTCTTTTGAATGTGTAAGATTCCAAAAACAAAATGTTATCTCATTTGACATTATAATGGCGTCAATGAATGCGCAAAACAGGAAATCATCTGTTGTCTTCAGAAACAGCACCGATTTTGATGTTTCTGTGATATACGTGGACCGTTCAAAAAATAAGATGAACTTTCAAGTTTCGTGGACTACGTACTTTCGATTACCAATTTTTATGTTGGTACACACATCTCGAACAGCTCAGGTAATGAATGACGTCAACGGTAATCCAGATTTGCTTGAAAGCCTCATAACTGGTGACGAATCATGGGTATATGGTAATGACATCGAAACCAAAGTCCAATCGCCTTGATGGAAGATCCTAGGAGAGCCAAGACCAAAAAACACGCCAAATTCGATCAAATGTCAAGGTTTTGCTCACTGTTTTCTTCGATTCCGTGGCGCAGTGCATCAGTTCTTTCAAAATGGTCGTACGGTTAATAAGGAGTATTATCTTGACGTTATGCGCCGCTTGCGAGAAGCAATACGAAGAAAAAGTCCGGTATCGTGGAAAAGCAATGCAAGGCTTTTGCATCTGCACCTGCAATGCACCTGCAGGCGGATGCACAGTCGTCATTGCTTGTTCGTAATCTTTTGGCCAAAAACAACACCGTAATCATAGCTCAGTCACCGTATTCACCAGCTCTGGCCCCTGCGACTTTTTTCTGTTCCCTAGATTGAAGATACCCATTTGCAAAAGTTGGTGCAATAAAAAAAGACGTATCAAAAAGTGCATATCAAAACTGCTTCTAGGATTGGAGAAAACGCTGGTACGAGTGTATTGTTGTAAATCACGTCCGAAAGAAAATAACGCCGGCCGCCACTGGTAACCATAAACCAAACGTGGCGTAGCTAAGAACGCGTGAATGCACGATGATTCCCCGCTACTCTAGAAGCAGCAAGAATAATGCTACCGATTTCAACGGAACTTCGGCGAAATTTCTACGGCATTCGATTACGATATTCAAAGGCTAGCCACGAGGATATTGACACAGTCATATGGACGTTACAGTGCGGTACGCGAAGTGATTTAGTAAGGCGATAGACATTCAAATAGTAGTTGAAGTGTTTGTTGTATTTAAAGTGAAATCAAGTAAAGTTTGATTATTCATTGTAGTCAATTATTAGTCAACCCACGGGGAAAAACGTAACAGTATTATATCTGAGAAGGACTACTTTGAAGGGGACAAAATACAAATTGAAGAATAAATAAATATTTTTTGAGAAAAATGAATATTATCTCATTTTTTAACAGACACCGTATATTAAGTAGTTAATGGTTTACGAACGAATACTCATTGTCAAAGCAACTCCCAACTACTCCCAAAACATTTATGATTATGTGCGCGTAAACAGACTAGTGACGTCATTCAATCAGAGAGCATTTTGATGTAATGTAAAATTTAATGGTATTGAAAGTAACAATTTTATAGCATGTAATTTTTTGTTTACTCGTACAAGTTACAAGTGAACATGTCGTTATGATAACTGAAAGGATTTTATAATAATAATTATCATTGTAGTAGCCTATTCATTATTACTCTCACGTCTTCGTGGCTGTCCTTGTTCATCTTTCACTGTCTGAACCACTGTGCATGCTGTTTTTGGCGAGTGCATTGGCTTGTGATGTGGAGGTTGAGCAAACCTGCTTCCACGTAGCTCCGCTGGATACGGGAATGACAGAATCACTTGTGGTTCTGTTATTCCCTAACTGAATGGCATCCCAACGAGGGCTTAATCCTTAGGTGTGTGTATCCGTGCCGAAAGGATGAATGACGCTGAGCCTATCAGCTGTCCTTACGGAACCTTCGAGATACCGGGCGCCCTCTCGTCGTAGCATCACCTTGTCACGGTAATGCGGGGCTCTGCCGTGATTGACCTTCTTTCCCTACCTACTCGTGGGACTTTTATGGACAGAGTAAACTTGAAAATTCTTTCTGACGCTGAGTCTACAGAGGAGATGGATGTCGAGCTCACGACTCCAACTGACCTCCCTGTAAATTTAGATCAGGAGCGAGAGCTTCTCAACTCTCCAACTCCTGATCCAATAACTGAACCTAAAGAAAAGTTTTGGTGGTGCAGCCAGGAAACGACCGAGTCGTCTCCCCAAGAGCGGGGTACTTTATGAAACCGCCTTGCACCAAATTCTTGAGCGGCGTACACAGAATCTGTCCCAGGTGGAGGAAGAAATCCCCCATGAGCAGGTTAGCAAACGTTTGCGCTCAAGTGATGATTCACCAAAACCAGAGTAGGCCATCTTGCACCTTGACTATCCGACTACCTTATCAACGATGAAACAGCAGAGCATATACTTTGTGCCTGCCCCGCTGGGGACCGAATCAGGTTTTTAGAATTCTTATCATCTGACCTGAAAGATCACTCACCATACAAACCAATCGGCTTGGTTTATTTGGTAGAGTGTGAATAGGTGTGAGCCACAATAAACCCTTGCGGGTTGCGGTGGAGGGTCGAATAGACCCACTCACTTTGGAGCTAACCTAACCTACCGTCGCCTTTTGTGACTATGGACCTGAATCTGTTTTTATTTGACATTTCAGCAGCTGGCTCGCCTCTTTATACGATATTGGATCATTTTTCAAATTGTTCGCGATACACGAGGATGGCTAATTTATCTGGATCATTTGCCAGCGCTTTTTCCCTAACATGTAACTCATCAAACAAGTATGATTTCTTCTAATACATGCACTCGTCGACTTATAGGCGAATCTTTGCCGCATCTGTCATTCTCAGGGTAATTTGAGATTTGATTGTTTTTTGATCTGAAGCGAAACCCTACTTATGAATCTAAGTTCTTGAAATCTCACTCAAGGATTTTTGGAAGAACTAATTATGTTTCGATTCGAGACTCCCGTGGTGCAGGGCGAAAAATATATGAGAAACTGCCGGTCTTCAAAAATTTGGCAACGTTTTATAATCTACATAGTCTACAGAACACGGTGTACAAGATGGTTATTACTGGTTCATACTATTACTCGTATTAAGGAGTACATGCGCTTGTATAATGATTTAATTATAGAGGAAGACGATATAAAATTAACTTTTATAATGAGATGCGGCATTTTCCCTGCGCCATATTTGATGTATGTCTCACTGCAAACGTTTGTACCTTATTATGGGGAATTTCACGAAAACAGTCTAAAAAGCGGTTTCTGAAACCTCAATGAAATAATGGATTACATAAATATTACTGGAATTTCATCCCAACACCCAAACCCAGCCGTTATTTTAACATCTCGACACGTGTTTCTATCACCAAGTGATCATCTTCAAGGAGAAGATTAAGGAAGATTAAACAGTTTAATAATCTTCCTCTTGAAGATAAGAGGAAGATTAAATAGTTTAATAATCTTCCTCTTGAAGTTGATTACTTTGTGATCGAAACACGTGTCGAAGTGAAGATTAAACAGTTTAATCTTCCTCTTGAAGATGTTCACTTGGTGATCGAAACACGTGTTGAGGTGTTAAAATAACCTATCGGTGTTGAGAAACAACTCCATCATTGATACACCAAAGGTTCCAAACAATGCATCACAAATGGATCACATAGTTTACTTTCGGAAAATTATCTAGATCGTGTATGAATCTGCAAATAATTTATGCCATAATGTTATTTATTCATACGTTCGACAAAAATCTGTCCCAGTAAGCATTATTTACTTGGTTATATTTGGATCAGAATTATTCAAAGATTTCGTCATAGAAGCAGATCCATAATCACTGTGGTATGATCCAATGAAAAATATGATGGAATTGACAGATACTTGATGAAAATCCATTATAACGTATTCAAAAAACACGTTTAAAGTGAGATTTCAACTTGACAGTTTGAAAAACCGCGACACTTGTTTTGCTATACAATTGATGCGTCACAATATTAAGTAGATTTTGAACAGATTTTAAACAGATTGGGACGCCCGAATATGCTATTGTTTAGCAAAATATGTTTCGTGGTTTTCACTTTCAAGTGGAAATATCACATTGAAATGTGTTTTTTGAATAAGATCCGTTGGAAATTAAAAAAAAATGAAATAACGTATTTTTCAGCTGAACACTTTTTTTTGTAAAAAATGATATTCCATTTGTAAAGTCGAATGTTGGGTGAAAAAAAAGTAAAGAGTAAATAGACGACGAACTTCAACTCTACTATTCGAATCAATATTTAAAAATATGGGTAATTTATTTTCCAGTTATCTTCCCGAACACATTCATCAAAGTCGCCATCGATGGCTTGCAAATTTTTCATTATTTTCTGTGGTAACCATTGGTCTCTTATATATTCTATTTCCTCATATATCCCTCCAGAAAAAAATCCATCAATTATTGAGCATTTCTACCAGAAGCTGATACGTTTCTCTAGAGATAAGAGCAGGTGCTTCATTTTGCTAGAAATACAATAATAACAATTGACTTAATTCTACTCAATAATAAACAATTTTAATCATATGAGCTTCATCCTACGTAATGACTAATAATTTTTTGATCAGAGGTAAATTACTGATTGAACATTTTTAAAATATCTATGAAGAAAGTTTTACCAACTCATTAAATGGACATGTAATTAACTAATTTGTGCTTTATATAATAATTGACTCATATAACCTCCTACTTAGTTAATGACTAATAATTTCACCTGAGTTTACGAAAATACTAATTGAAAATTTAAACATCGTAAAAGAACATTTTTAGCAAACTCGTCAAATGGATTTTTTATAAACTGATTCTACATTACAAAACAAATTCTGAAGAGGTCAAAATTCAATTCTATTTAGTCATTTAGTGAATTTTCAGAATTCCCAATTTTATTTATTTTTGAGCATTCCAAAAGGTTAAGTTTCATTGGATTGCAAATGTGGAATTGGTCTTCACATTCAAGAAACTACTATGTTCTTTCATTCTTTCGGAATATGTTCTCCCCTTTTGGCCAACACAAAGTTTTGGGCAAGAACCTAATCTATCCGACACCGAAGTTTTGTCTTTGATTTAAAAAAAAATTGTTCGAGTCATTATTTATCTAGATAGGCACGTCCAAGTCTGCCCTTTTCAGAAAACGAACGATGTCATTGGTGAGTTCACCAATTATGACTGCTTCTTGAAGAGGGATAGACCTGGTTAATGGCTTGTTTTCTTTTTCAGTTAATTCAGTTGATTTTCAGTTAATTCAGTTGATTTTCAGTACTCGCTTAGATGTTTTTGAAAGATAACTCACTAAATCCGCACAAAAAAATACGACTTCGTCATTAGACACAATGTCATTTTGCAAAAAGTATTAGTAGTTACTTCAAGCTATTCCAACACAGGGATATTATCTATTGAGAAAGGAATATGTTATAGGTGTGAAGTCGACTAAAACGATAAAAAATGAATCGTTCTACAAAATTGGTATTGAAATGTTAGAATGACGCTGGAATGAATGTGTGGCTCTTAATGGAGATTAACGATGAATGAAGCCAATTTTGAACGAAAAAAACGCGTTTTCTTTCTTGAGCCCGGGACATTTCACTTGGAGATGCCGGGTGCACTTTGAGATGCCGGTTGCACTTTAAGATGCCGAGTGCACTTTGAGATGCCGGGTGCACTTGGAAATGCCGGGTGCACTTTGAGATGCCGAGTGTACTTGGAGATGCCGGGTGTACTTGAAGATGCCGAGTGCACTTTGAGATACCGGGGGCACTTGGAAATGCCGGGTGCACTTGGAAATGCCGGGTGCACTTTGAGATGCCGAGTGTACTTGGAGATGCCGGGTGTACTTGGAGATGCCGGGTGCACTTTGAAATGCCGGGTGTACTTGGAGATGCCGGTTGCACTTTGAGATGCCAGTTGCACTTTGAGATGCCAGTTGCACTTGGAGATGCCGGGTGCACTTTGAGATGCCGGTTGCACTTTCGTCGTAAAGTCCTTGACAGGGTAATACGAGACTCTGTCTTGATTGACCTCCTGAGCAAATCAGCAGATGCTCACGCTCTAACGATGATAAACTCACACTAGAAATGAAAAAACTCATCATGGCTGAATTTAATGTAGCCGACATCCGAAAATCTCAATATCTGCCAATCAACGGAAATATCTTTTCAGTTAATTCAGTTGATTTTCAGTTAATTCAGTTGATTTTCAGTTACTGTCCGTGTAAGTGAAATTTTACCTCTTTTATTTACTATGTTGTGTAGGAATCCTGTAGAAGATATCTGATTCAATTCCATAGCGAATGTTTGGAATACAAACTGGATAGAGAAACGTGTTCTTTGTATAATTCAGTGTGCATATAAAGTATTTTTCTTTCGTGTAAGCCACACAACTACCTCATGGGTATCAAATAACAGGGCTTGACTAATAGATTAGTAATACACTTCGAAAAAGATGCAAATTCTAGATGACCGCAGCTACAAAATGGCGGATAACTTATTACCTTGTAATATTGAGGCACTAAATGAACTAAACAGAATGAGAAGAATTGAATAACAACATTAGAAACTAAAAACTTGAAAAGCAGTAAGTAAAAAAATATGTTGAACGGTTTTATTGAAAAAAAGATGTAGATAAAGATCCCTTCAGCTTCCCGCATTAAATATTTCGGAATTATAATATACTGTCACCTCAGATGGAACTGCCATGCAGACTATGTATCAAAAAAATTCAAGAGCATGGCCAACAGGTTTAAAGTCTTCAGAGAAATATTTGACTTCAAATACATGTCTATTCTAATGAGTGATTTTTTTGCTGGTATCTTTTTGGCAACACTGTTTTTGACAGATCACGCGTGAATCGTGTCTTGTGTCATTGTCAAACTTATTCAGTTTGGTCTATAACTTAACCATGAATCGACTTACGAACGAACAACGCTTGCAAATTATTGAATTTTATTAAGTATCAGAATTCATGCTCGGCGAAGAAAGTGCATCTTGCACTTCTTCCAATTTATGGGCAGTTTCGTTGGCCTACTGAGGGAGCTATTCGGAAGCTTGTGACTAAATTTCGAACCCAGTTTAAATTATTGGACATTGAACCACCAACACGCATATGTAGAGTGAGGACTGAAGAAAATATTGCGGCTGTATCCGCCAGTGTTCGTGATGACCGTGGAATGTCGATTCGTCGCCGTTCGCAGCAATTGGTCCTCTGTTACTCCACTACGTGGAAAATTTTGCGAAAGGATTTGGGTGTAAAACCTTATAAGATACAGCTGGTGCAAGAATTGAAGTCACACGATACGTTAACAAACAAAATTGCCGCATCTGGAGTGAAGACCAGCCACAAGCATTGCAAGAGCTACCGATGCATTCCGAAAAAGTCACTGTTTGGTGTGGATTATGGGTCGGTGGCATCATCGGGCCGTACTTCTTCAAAGACGACAATGGCCGGAACGTTACTGTGAATGGCGAGCGCTACCGTGTGATGATTGACGAGTTTTTGTTGTCCAAAATGGAAGAATTGGACATGCCTGACATGTGGTTTCATCAAGACGGTGCCACATACCACACGGCACGCGAAACAATGGCCCAATTAAAAGCCGCCTTCGGTGAACAGTTCATCTCACGTTTGGGGGCCGTCAATTGGCCGCCTAGATCGTGTGATTTACCGCCTTTGGATTATTTCTTGTGGGGTCATGGTAAGGCTGATGTCTACAAGGATAAACCAGCAACGACTGACGCTCTGGAAACCAATATTGAAGCATTTATACATGAAATACCGGTCGTCGATATGTTAGAGTGTGCCAAAATTGGACCTTGCGCATGGGCCACTTAAAGCGGAGCCGCAGACAACATTTACATGAAATCATCTTCAAACATGAAATTATATTGATCGTTCTATCGATTCCAATAAAGGTTTCATCAATTTTTTCAAAATTTTTGTTGTTTTGGGAATCAAAACCTATACCTCTTAAAAAATCACCCGTTATTGTGACACACTGATTCAAGCACATATAACATACGGCATAAAGGTTTGGGGTGGTATTGCAGACATCTTACTCAAAACCATTACAGACATCACAAAAGTGGATCTTAAAGAGCATCATACTCCGGAAAATCTATAGATACCAAACGGAAGAATTATTCACAGAAGCAAGCGCTCTGGATGCTTGTCAACTTTACTGTGAATCACTAGTCCTTCACCACCATAAAAACAAGCACAAATACGAACTTATACAGCACAAACATGAAACACGCTTCAAAGCGAAAACAACAACCATTTCACGAATATGTCGAAGTTCTTTTACTCACCTTTGTCTAGTCTTGTTGCTGCTGCTGATATACATACCTACTAGATGATATCCGAAGAATACGATAATTCAGTTTGCTAAAAAAACTAAAAAAACCCGGCTTCATAGCTATCCAAGAGAAAAAATACACCAATCAATCGATAGGAAAAACAATGTGAAATACATTATGCCTTGCCTACTTGTTTATATGCAATCTTGTATCTGTATTGTACATGAACATACTTAAATTTATATACTTTCTTCTTTGTAATATCTATGTTATGTTTTATGTTATCTATATCTATCTTATTGTAATATCTATGTATATATTGTCTATTCTATAAACTATAATTGTATAAACTACTCATGAACTATAAAACCGATATTTTTGATGTTTTACCGCTAATACTTTTTTAGTACATATTTGTGTGTGTATTCTAGACCTGTACCAATTTTCAGCATTGTGTAAATTATAGTAATATCGCCACTTTTTTCGTTTCCTTTGACCGGATCAATGAGAGTCCAATGACTCAGGCGTGAGGTAATAATTATATATTTCATGCACATGTCTACCGAAAATTCACTTTCGACTATTCTCTGAAAAACGAAACTGAAGGGCATCGGTGAACGAACTCGGTTTGGGCTGCATCGTGTATGAGTTTATATCGCTTTCGATTCCATTCAGATAACTCGATTTCGAGATGGAGGACACATCATTGTTTCATTGATACATAATAGCTTCAACAATGCGTTGAATATAAATACAACAGAATTTCTTTATTGGTTTTCTAACGCATTCTCACATACATTTGTAAAGGTAGATGATAATGGTATAGTTCAAGTAAACAATATAGTTAGGGAACTAACTAATTTCGTTATTGAATAATCATATCTATTAACTTTTTTCGAAAGCTTCTGATAATTCCTCTTCCATATTCTCTGTTTCACTATCACTGTCGTCATTTGAATCAATAATGAATATATTTTCACCATTAATATGGAAGTGTCCAATCTCCATATAGTCTTTTTCCACTAAAATTACTTTTTTAATCCTTTTCTGCCAGTCTTCTTCGGTAATATTAGATACTTCTTCTTCAATTAGCTCTATTACCTTCTTATCAAATTTTGTTTTCAGGCTTGTTAGGCGTACACATTCTCGAACCATTAATCCACCCTTTCGTATCTGTGCCGTGAGTGTCATACCAAGTTTCGTCCATATAGAAAATTTGCCGTTGTTCTTGTCTATATTTAGTTATTTGTTCTAAGTATTTGTTACGCAATTCCACTATTCTTCTGCTTCTCATAACTGCTTGACGTTTGTTTATTATTTTAAATCTAAATCCTGGTTTCTTTACCCAAATCTGAAGAGTTTTGTCACAGCAGCTTATGTTGAGGTCGGAAGTATTCAATTTCTTCCTTATGATACCAGTTGTAGGAATCTCATTGCTTTTGTAACAGTCGTATATTGTTTTTTTCAATAATTTTATTAGATGAACATCTAAAGGTTTTGGTAATCCTATATCACATCAAGTCTTACGTTTATAATAAGAGCGCAACACGTTCCACGTCGACGTGATGCGCTCAACGTGTTAGACCGACTGCTTGGATAGGAGTCTATTCGATTTCACGCAGCGCAATAGTCAGGTTTTGTCTGTTTAAAGCAAATTCAAATCCAAGATAGAGTGGATGTAAACATTGACATTTCGAAAAAATTTACAGAAGTAATAGAGGGACAAAATACCTTTCAAATGATGTATCACTAGACCCCCCATGCCATTGAAAAAAAAAGGGGGGGGTAGTTGCTGACCGCCAGGGGGCGAAGTTTCTGGTAACTTTTCCATATCAGAATTAGTGTGTTCATTAACACTATCATTGCCAAATACCCGGTTAATTTTTCGGGTTGTTATTTTGATTCGCACTTTGGTTCAATTTGAATTTACAGAGAAATATTAGCCGAAAATCGCTCAACGGCATCGTATAAGCTGAAAAGAGGCAAAAAATTGAAATTTTGATAAAAATTATAACGGTCGAAACTTTCGAAACAACCTAATATAACCTTGAACTTGGCTCAGAATTTTCAATACTCATATTATTAGTATATTGGTGATAAATTTCTATTTCAAGTTGAAAGTTTCTATATTGGTAACAATGAATTGTTATAGTTTATTAAAATGAAATCATTTTGTAATTTTAATCTCTCAACTAGCTTTTTTTTTTCTTTTTGCGAACTTTCACGACACTTAAGCGACCTTTTAAATTGTGCTTCGAATGGACTATGAACGAGTACCTCACCATAAATAATTTTTGGTATTGATTGATCTGTTTGTGGATATGATATTGCTCTCACATCCATTATTGCACAAAATAGTACGGAACTTTTGAACTGCCGCCCTTTCAGCCTACTGAAAGCAAACTAAGGGGAGGCGAGAGGGACCAGTCCTCCAACGTCCCATCTCAAACACCAACTTCACACTGATATTGTTTTCTGTTTCAGTTTTGGCATATGATAACGCAACTACTTGTGGATTAGTATGGACTCCGAATTTCGTAGCTTACAGATGCCGCACATGTGGCATATCTCCGTGCATGTCCCTGTGCACGGACTGTTTTAAAAGTGGAAACCACGTAAGGCACGATTTCAATATGTTCCTCAGTCAGGCGGGTGGAGCTTGCGACTGTGGAGATACTTCGGTCATGAAAGAAGCAGGGTAAGCATCCCACTCAAACGAAATTTTTTCAGTTGAAGATTGTTTCAAAATGCTTTTCTCTTAACTAGCTATCGCTTCCATACGAACGACGACACTCGAAGGTTCGAAGTCCTTGAGGATTCACGAGGTCTCACTTTTTAACGCACAATTCATAATAATAATAATGAATTTCTTACAAAACAAAAAAAAAGAATTATAAATCATTAATAATCATATTAATCATAATAATAACTAACAAATGTGCACGAAATTTATTTTTCAGCGCCCATATACTACAATAAAAGATATCACATGAGGTAGACAGCTCGTTTGAAGTACTGCTCATGAAATTCATCAGTGATTTTAACAATAAAATAGTTTGAGCTTTCTTGCACAAAAAAATTATATTATTTCTAGATGTTGATCTTGGTACAAGAAAATCTATTGTAGAAAGTTATTGCGGAGAATCAGTTCTACCAATCAACAACTTATGTAAAAAAAAGAACAGATGCTTGTTTTCTTCTTTTTTCAAAAGATACAAATGTTTGCAATAGTTCAATATAATTGCAATTTCTTTGAGGATACACACCATTAGTTTTGAAATTTAGGTATTACAAAAACTTCTAGTGGACTCTTTCAATACTTGGTATTTACTGATTATAAATGGGATACATTAAAGACCAATATTCTAACTTTGAGCGTAAGATATAAGTAAGATATCGAATCGATCCCTCTACGAAACCCTTTTTCACTTGGAAGGATCGATCGCAGCTTGAGAAATGGTTCTTATGGAGATTCTGTGAAACGTGTTCTTCCTTACGAATCAGTAGAGAGTTGTCCTGAAAATCTAGAGAAGAAAATTGGATTGGATAATTTAGGAAACACTTGTTACATGAATAGCATTTTACAAGTGTTGTTCATGACGAAGAATTTCAAGAACGAAGTTTTAATGATGAACGAGAACGAGAATGTTTCCTGCTTATTCATCAAACTCAAACAACTCTTCATGCAGCTGCAGTTTCGTAAGAAGGTATCATCTTTCCCTCCAACCGATTTCCTGGAGTCTTTGAAGTCCACTAGATACTCGTTAGGACAACAAGAGGATTGTTCCGAATTCTTGGGGTTCTTGTTGAATACTCTCCGTACAACCCATCTCGTCTTGTGTTTGTAAATCTTTTGCTGGAAAAATCCTCACTTGTTTACTTTGTGGTAAATGTTCAAGAAGTACTGAAAACTTATGTGAATTTCTGGAACTTCATCTAGCTTTTCCTAATACGACTAATTACCAGTCCGTGCAAAGCTTATTGTTAAATCATCTGAAAATGGAATTTTTAACAGGAGATGATCAACTGTATTGTCAAACATGCGCCAAACTAACTGACTGTTATAAGGAAACAAGTATAGCTGAGGCACCAGTCAATCTAATAATAACACTGATGATTTTCAAACAAGACTCAACCTCTAACGGAAGCAAGAAACTCTTTGGAAGGTTCGAAATAGATGAACATTTCAACCTAGCAGACCACTGCTATAATATTCATGCAGTCATTGTTCACTGTGGTTCTGGCGTTGAATGTGGTCATTATTACGCCTTGGTCAAAGAAGAAACGGACTGGTTTAAGTTTGACGATAGTCGTGTCACGAAGTGTTCTGGCGATGCATTGAATTTATTGGAGCCTCTGGAGACACCCTACATTTTGTTTTATGAGAGAGAGGACATTGTTAGATCAAGATCTTCAGATGATGTGGTGCTGCAGGTTTTTCCGGGTTTTCCTGCAGCTGAAAAAGCAAATGCGCCACTGGAATCAATGAAGTCGCCCCAGAGCGCCAATTAATTTTTATTGTTGTATTTATTTTATTTTTATCGTTAGTGAAACATAATATACACTAAAAGATATAAAATATTGAAATTTTTACAATTTCTGACAATCAAACAGCAAGAGTGATGGGAAGAGTTAACAATAAAATTAATGTGATTATTGAAAGTAAGTTGATAGATCCCTGATAATGTTAGTTCTATCCAAGATGGTTTCATCGATACTACTTGCAAATTGTGTTGTATTGAATTTTTTGGTGAATGATACAAGTTTATATTTGGAAATATTCAAATTGAGATAATATTCAAATCTGCGAAAGTTTCAGTTGCTAATCTGAAAGGGAAATTGAAAATAACCAATCTCAATATTTATATGAAAACAACTACTTCAGGTCATTTTCAAAGCTGAAATGCAAGTAAAAATATTAAATTAACTATTCCACTAGTTTGATATAAAAACGTGATAAATGCATTCATAAAGTAAGGAAATAATATATTAATACTTTAAAATACCTAAATAATATATTAAAAAACTCAAGAGCTCAAACTCTTATGACATATATTATTTAAATAGCCTTATCACCAAAGAAACTCTAAATTATCTCATCGAACCGTTAACCATTCTTATAAACGGCTGTTTTCTTGAAGGTTCTTTCCCAGATGTATTGAAATTTAGCAAAGTTATATCTATTTTCAAAAAAGGAGATCCTTCATCACCTGACAATAACAGACCTATATCTATTATACCCATCTTGGGAAAAATAATAGAGATCATAGTTAAAGAACGTCTGATGAGCTTTATGAATAAATATAGTGTTCTCCACAAACATCAATATGGCTTCATGGAAAACAGATTCACAACTGATGCAGTTATGGAAAAATACAAAATGCAATAAACAATGTCCTTATCAAAAAACTTGAGTACTATGAAATCCGAGGAACATCTTTAAATTTCTTTATATCCTATCTCTCTTCAAGGAAACAAGCAGTTTATTTGGATGGTTCTCTGTCAGATACAAAAATTATGTCTCATGGCATCCCTCAGGGGTCTGTTCTGGGACCTACATTATTTGTTTTTTACATAAATGACATTTTCGACTTTATGCTTCCCAAAACAATAATTTGCTTTGCAGACGATACGACAATGCTAAATGAAAGTTCCGATATTGACGATATATTAAAAGTAAACCAAGAACTGGAAGAAAGGGCGGAAAAATGGTTCTCACGAAACAAGTTGAAGCTAAATAGGGATAAAACCCAAAATATTATATCATCAAATAATCGCTTAACAAATAACAATCATGTTAAACTTCTTGGCATAACTGTCGATGATTCACTCAAATGGGAAAATCACATTGAAATGTTGTGTAAAAAACTATCCAGCCAACTTTATCTACTTTGTAGGCTGAAGAAAGTTCTGAGCACCCAAACACTAATAACCTTCTATCATTCACTATTTCACACTCACCTAATATATGGTGTACTCCTATGGGGTAGGTCTTCCTATGCTCTCAGAGCATTCCGTATGCAAAAAAAGCTCTCAGGATTATAGCAGGTATCCCACTTAATGAACACCGCCAACCACTTTTTGTAAAATTCAAAATCATGCTATTGCCTTGTATTTTCATCTACCACACACTGCTTCAGATTCACAAGAATAAAAATAAATATTTTTCCCATTCAGACTACCACAATTACACTACCACTACCCCCGGTCAAGCTAGAAATGTCAGTGCGTAATTCGCTATATATCAGACTCTACAATGTTTTGCCTTCTGATCTAGTATTGTTGTGCATGAATGTATTCAAGAGGAGGGTGAAAAAATATCTTTTAAAAAATTGTTTTTATAATTTGAAAGATTATATGAACTGTACATATACGGAATGATTTTAATATTTTCATGTTTTAGATGTGCTGTACCATCAAATTTTACTGTCTTTTTTATTTATACACAACTTTGTACATTGTACCATTGTTTCCTGACTTGTCATAAATGTAATTTACATATAATATGATCAAATAAATCTATCTATCTATGTACAAAAAATGACATCAATAAGTTCTGAAACTCCTAATACTTTCCAAGCTTTCAGATACAAAGATTTTTAGCTCCAGCTCTTTGTACATGTTTTTCCATTGTTCCATTTTTTTTTAATGTTCTATTTTCTAAATTTATTATCAAAATTGTTTGTAGCGAAGTAAAAAGAATGAAAGGTTGCTTTTCTAAATGAATTCCTTTACAAACCAAAATTTCTTAGTGGTTTTAGTGCTGAAAGATTGGAGAGTTTGGCCAATTTTTTTGAATTACTACTATTTTGAGAAGGTTGATCGCGAGTGTATTTATAAAAAAAAACCTTTCCTTGAATTCTGTTTGTGCTAGAAAATCATTATCATTAATTGCAGAATAGAGTTCTTGAACAAATTATAGTAAGTATAGTTCATAAAAAAGATGTTAATAGCTTGATTAATAGGAAACAAGTTATATTATAATTTATCGAAAGTAATATCAACTTGACATACAGTGTGTCAATTTGAAAACTTCCCACCCTCAATATCTCCCTTCCAGTACATAATATGAAAAAATGGTCAGACAGTTCAACTTTATTTGCAAGGGGGACACTCTGAATGAATATTTTCAACCCTCGGGGTTCAACCCCCTAGGAGGGGTGGATGTTACCCTCAGAATTTCAAATGGAAAGGGGGGTCAAGTGGCACATCATTTTGAAGGGCATTCAATTC